ATGATGTCAAACCCCCCCCACAGCCGACACTTTTTTTAAAAAAAGAAGTTTAATCCAGATTTCACTTTACAGTAGAAAATCTGAAAAGTCAAAGTAACTGTGAAATGTCTGCCGTCAGTCAATGCTGGTGAGGAAGCTACATAGTACAATGCTGTTTGGATGGTCATTTGTCATGTGGCTGATCTCTAATGCCACAGCCCTACTTCTATTTGCTCCTCACCTGAGCACAACATAGCTGCTTTCTTTCCAGAGAGCCAGTGTGGTGTGGTGGTTAAGAGCGGAAGTCTCGTAATCTGGGGAACCGGGTTCGCGTCTCCGCTCCTCCACATGCAGCTGCTGGGTGACCTTGGGCCAGTCACACTTCTTTGAAGTCTCTCAGCCCCACTCACCTCACAGAGTGTTTGTTGTGGGGGAGGAAGGGAAAGGAGAATGTTAGCCGCTTTGAGACTCCTTCGGGTAGTGATAAAGCGGGACATCAAATCCAAACTACTACTCCTCCTCCTCCTCCTCCTCCTCCTCCTCCTCCTCCTCCTCTTCTTCTTCTTCTTCTTCTTCTTCTTCTTCTTCTTCTTCTTCTTCTTCTTCTTCTTCTTCCAGAAGTCCCCAATACCAAACACAAGGCACTTGTTTCACTGATTGCTGCATGCCCCATTTGGAGGAGAAATTTCCAAAAGTAAATACCGCCAGCCTTATCTGAACAGTTACCATGTTTTACTATGGGCAAACCAGAGGCAGGTGCAATATCTATTCCCATTTGCTTTTTTGTTTTTAAATCCTGTCTTATTTTATATATCTATATTATTATTTTTAAAAGCCCAAAGTATATACTGTGTTCATGTTCTCCCAAGTACGGTGGTACCTCGGGTTACAGACACTTCAGGTTACAGACACTTCAGGTTACAGACTCCGCTAACCCAGAAATAGTACCTCGGGTTAAGAACTTTACCTCAGGATGAGAACAGAAATAGCGTGGAGGCAGCGGGAGGCCCCATTAGCTAAAGTGGTACCTCAGGTTAAGAACGGTTTCAGGTTAAGAACGGACCTCTAGAACGAATTAAGTTCTTAACCTGAGGTACCACTGTAATTATTTCTCTGCATGCAAAGTATGGTTCCCTCCACCAAAATATGATCTCTTCCATGAGTTTCTTTCTAAGATTTATACCTCTGCACAATGCAAAATATCTCAACCCAGTAATTTAAAGTCCAAAATGAATTCAAAAAGTGCCCTGCAGATCTGGATCAGTAGAGGGGCTGGGCAAAAGTCTTAAGCTAAGCCAAACACAGGGACATCTTTTCACCTTCCCCCACCCCATCTAAAATTTAAATTGCCAGCTTGTCAGGGTAGGCATCTGCCCTTTGCTGTTGTTATTGTGGAAAAGCACTACAAACATAAAGCTACAATTTTAATGCATGCTTACCTTGGAGTAAACCCCATTGAACACTGTGGAGTTTTGCTTTGATTAAACCTGTGTATGTAAATGTTATTATTGAACCCATTTCGCAGAGAAACCTTTTACACATGCCCCTTACTGGGAGTGGGGGAAAAAATTCCTTCCAGTAGCACCCCAAAGACCAACTAAGTTAGTTCTTGGTATGAGCTTTCGTGTGCATGCACACTTCTTCAGATACACTGAAACAGAAGTTGCCAGATCCTTCTATATAGTGAGAAGGTGGGGAGGGGTATTACTCAGAAGGGTGGTGGGAATGGGTGATTGGCAGATAGCTGTGATGAGCCTGTTGACGACTCTTAATGACTGCAATAGGTCTTACAGGAAAAAGCAAGGGGTGAGAAGGTGAAATTCCTTAGGAATTTCAGAAATAGACTGGAAAGAGAAGCTGCTGAATTGCAACTTATTACCAAACTTAAAACCATGGAGAGACCTGGTCTGAACAAAGACATTGGATTCTTATCTCATTATACATGACAAAGCCATTTTTCACCTTCTCACCCCTTGCTTTTTCCTGTAAGACCTATTGCAGTCGTTAAGAGTCGTCAACAGGCTCATCACAGCTATCTGCCAATCACCCATTCCCACCACCCTTCTGAGTAATACCCCTCCCCACCTTCTCACTATATAGAAGATACACTGTTTCAGTGTATCTGAAGAAGTGTGCATGCACACGAAAGCTCATACCAAGAACTAACTTAGTTGGTCTTTAAGGTGCTACTGGAAGGAATTTTTTTTGTTTTGACTATGGCAGACCAACACGGCTACCTATCTGTAACTGGGAGTGGGGAGTTAAAGAAACCTCTGCTTATTTGCCACAAGAGGTCAGTGTGTGCTTGTGTGTGTTTATTTAAAAACCACATTGCTACAGTGTATGATGACATTAATGAACGACACACACACTGCAAGGTGGGTGAAAAACACCACAGTTCCAAATTTATAGCATTTCATGCCTTTCAGAATGCCACTGTGCCTGGAAGCCCTTTCTGTGAATCATTGCTTAAATGTGTATTTAATGCTGCCTTGTAAAATGGACAAGCTTAATAAAATACTACTTAGCTGTGGCAATCAGTTTACTCGCCCACACAGGCACATCTGTTAAGCATTGTATGTGCCCTCAGATATACTGACAGGCACACACACACACACACTTCTCATACAACACAACTCCTTCTTAAGCAATCCATTCCCAACATTGTGCGTGCGCATGTGTGAAAGAGAGAAAAGAAAGTGAGCATTTCATCAGCATATGCATACATAGATCCAACCGCTTCTGGTTTCAGGGAGCAGAGACATTGATTCAGCTAAGATCTACAAGAACGAGTCATTCCTGATAGCTATTGAGGCATGGCACACAGGGCCAGCGTTGACTATACGATCCATAATGCCAGCTTCCCTCACTCTGGGGTCCTGCTCACCTCCTGGGCAACTTCATTCCTTTTCATTTCCCCTGTGAATAATGAATACAGGAATATTGCCAGATTATGTGTGAACTGGGAGCTTCCTTAAGACATTTTCAGACGTGATCTTAATACTTTGCAGCTGCCTGTGCTTTTCTGGGAGGGAATAAGTCCCATTGAGCTTGTGGCCTCTATTACAAGGAATGGGTAGCGTTTACAACAGCCAAGAAACTGGAGTTGGATCAAGGAAATGCTGTATGTGATTCTGTCTTTCTTGCTACTACATGCTACCATGGGGGTGAGAGGGACTGACAGAAGCGACACATTCCCCATAAAGTTTCCTTTGACCCCAAGGGGACATAAATAGAAGGGGGAACCAACATGGCGCCTTCTTGATGTTGTTGGCCATGCTGGCTGGTGCTGACGGGACTTACAGTTCCAGAGGGCCCTGGCCTATTCCTGATACATAAGGGTTAGGCTATGAAATCGTGCCAGGCAGTTATCTTGTGCTTTTCCCCTCAAAGTTGTAGGTGGTATGAAAAAGCCATCGTTGTCCAGGACTTGCACATCCATTTGTTTTGTTCAGCTATCATCTCAGACCAAACAGGCTTTGAAGGTTTCCATGCATGGTCAAATCTTGCAAAATCTATTTGGTTGGAGATGATAGTGGAAGGAAACCCTTACATTTCTATAGCCTATGCTAAAATCGGATTACTTGCAAATGTGCCGACATCATCATCCTCAAGATGTACCTGCCAAAGCATGCAGTGTGCATTGCTTCTGTACCAAGGAATCCAGACTTGGCCAGAAGCAAAGCATAGGAACATAGGACTGCCTTATATTGAGTCAGGCCATTGGTCTAGTTCAGTATTGTCTACATGGGTTGGTGGTGCATCTCCAGGATTTCAGGGATTTCTCTAAGTTCTGTCTACTGGAGATGCCACAGGATGAACTTGGGAACTTCTGTATGCAAGCAGATGATCTACCTCTAAGTGATGGTCGTAGTCCAAGCACTTAACTCCAGTTCTGCACTTATAGCATGTAGTAAATATCTGTTGCATTCCACGAGAATGGTTGTACATGCAAGATGTGTGACCTGCAGCTTGCATTATCCAGTTGAACAGGTTTACCTGAGGAAGGAGGTGATTGCATGACACATACTGACTGGCAAGAAGCACATTCAAGTCCAATGTGAGATTCCAGTTCTCAAAGAAATACTAGACATCCTGGAACTGGTCAACTCCCCACCTGATGATGGCCCAAATATCTTTTTTGATGTTCTATAATTGCAGTGCAACACTTTATTTATGGTTTACCAATGCACATCACAATATATGTCTACAAAGGCAATGCAACCTTAATTCACACGCACCACTTGTACATTTTGGTACAAATGGATATGCAAAGGAATGGATATCCAAAGGAATATTATTAGGTTGGTACCCCTGCCCGTACGGGCCAGTCTTGACAGACTCTAGGGTTGTGCGCCCATCTCACTCAAGAGGCCGGGGGCCAGCGCTGTCCGGAGACACTTCCGGGTCACGTGGCCAGCGTGACAAAGCTGCATCTGGCGAGCCAGCGCAGCACACGGAAACGCCGTTTACCTTCCCGCTAGTAAGCGGTCCCTATTTATCTACTTGCACCCGAGGGTGCTTTCGAACTGCTAGGTTGGCAGGTGCTGGGACCGAACAACGGGAGCGCACCCTGCCGCGGGGATTCGAACCGCCGACCTTTCGATCGGCAAGCCCTAGGCGCTGAGGCTTTTACCCACAGTGCCACCCGCGTCACCCGCATTATTAGGTTAAATGTAGGTAAATGGCTCATCTATGTGCAAATGCTTGTTCTGTTTTAGACTTCAGATCTCAGGGAAGCCTTGGAGTTTTTGAAGCCTGTAGGAATTCTACGCAGCCACTGATTTTAGTGAAAATGGATCAAAGCTGACAAGCAGGTAGCAAACTGATGATACCATGACTTTCTCTTGACTAGGGTGTATGCAAAGGTACTCTGCACTTGGCTTTGGGAAGGTGATGGATCATTTTTAAGAACTGCACAGTCTCATGCAGGCACAACACTTTAGATTTCTGTACTTGCAACAGACTTCTGTATTTATGGACTCCTGATTGTTTTATTTTTGTTGCTTTTCAGGCAAGAACACAGAATTCATCAGGCAACAGAGCTATGTACTTGGACAACAAAGATGAAAGTGCCATGTCTAGAAAAGTAGATATGGAGCTGACCCAGGCCCCTATCCCACACCACGTGGACTTGCTCGGAGGTGTAGCAGCAGAACCGATTCCCAACAATTTCAGTGAGCTGGAGCTGTTGAAGGAGATGATGGCTGTTCAGGGAGAACCACACAAGCCCTACCCAAGCAGCGCTCCGGAACAGGAATGTTGCATTACCCTGGGGAAAGATTTCAGCCCACTCTCCATGCAGGGAAGGTAAGGAAAACCAGAGTCAACAGATTCTGCTTCATCTGATGGCATATTGGTGTGGTTGTTTTTATTCTCTGACTCAGTCGATAAATGTTTTATTTAATGTCTTCCTGCAATATAATTAATGGGAAAGAGGCTTAGTTAGGAGGCTGGAGTGGCCAATTGCTGGGAAAGGATATTCTCTCAGCAGGTTTCAGAACTAATACCTGCTTTTATAGCAGCTGTGTTGCATGCATTTTTTTTGGGGGGGGGGAAACGATTTTTTCCGATATCTTGTTTTCCATACTGATGTTTTATTTAAACCAAATGCTCACAAAAAGGATGCCTTTGTACTGCTTAAAGTTGAAACATAAATGGCCAAAGTAAAGGAATTAACTCTCTAATTATGGTTGACTGCTCTAGATTTAAAAATGATGCATTGTACTCCTGTTACGAAAGTTTGAACAACAGCCATTCTTTCAGAGTTTGATTACATGGGGCAAAGTGTATCTATGGTGCCTCCCCATAGGGCTGATAGGTGTGGTAGCCAAGTTCGTCAATGGCACCAAATTAGTCAGATTGATGAAAATCCAATGAGACTGTGAGGTACTCCAAAGGATCTCTCCCAACTGGATGAATAAATATTTCTATTTATTTATTTATTTACTAATTAATTAATTAAATTTATATACCACCCTTCAACCAAAGGTCACAGGGTGGCTTACAGCATAAAAAAAAATTCAAACTGAAAATACAAAATGCACATCATACTAAAAAACCTGGTTATAGAGTTGCTGCATAATACACATCAGCACCAAATACATTCTGCTGCCACCTGGCTCTTGCCACTTAACTGGTCTCTGACGCAGAAGTGGAAGAGCCTCCAGGTAAAGTCAACCAGTGGAAGGTGAGAGAGCAGGTGGATCTCGTTCCCCCTGGTAAGTGATGCCCAGTGTACGTCAATGCCAAGCAATACATAGTGGGGCAAACAAATAAGGAAACCGTAACTTCACAAATAGATGAGTGGGATATGAAAAGGAAAAGAGATATACTAAAAGGAAAAAGATACTGGTGTCATGCGGGATAACTTAATATAAGCAGCAACTCCACGTCTACCAGTGAACAGAAAGAAGGCAATTCGCTATTAGAAAAGGGAGTGGAATGCTAAACCAGTGAAGGCGGTGAAGGTCCTGTGTGAGTGTCTGGAGGCGGTTGGAGGATGGATGGCGGCTAACAGATTGAGGTTGAATCCTGACAAGATAGAAGTACTGTTTTTGGGGGACAGGAGGCGGGCAGGTGTGGAGGACTCCCTGGTCCTGTATGGGGCAACTGTGCCCCTGAAGGACCAGGTGCACAGCCTGGGAGTCATTTTGGACTAACAGCTGTCTATGGAGGCGCAGGTCAATTCTGTGTCCAGGGCAGCTGTTTATCGGCTCCATCTGGTACGCAGGCTGAGACCCTATATGCCTGTGGACTGTCTCGCCAGAGTGGTGCATCCTCTAGTTATCTCTTGCTTGGATTACTGCAATGCGCTCTATGTGGGGCTACCTTTGAAGGTGACCCGGAAACTACAACTAATCCAGAATGCAGCAGCTAGACTGATGACTGGGAGCGGCTGCCGACACCACATAACACCAGTTTTGAAAGATCTGCATTGGCTCCAGTATGTTTCCGAGCACAATTCAAAGTGTTGGTGTTGACCTTTAAAGCCCTAAATGGCCTCAGTAAAGTATACCTGAAGGAGCATCTCCACCCCCATCGTTCTGCCCGGACACTGAGGTCCAGCACCAAGGGCATTCTGGCGGTTCCCTCACTGAGAGAAACCAAGTTACAGGGAACCAGGCAGATGGCCTTCTTGGTAGTGGCACCTGCCCTGTGGAACGCCCTCCCACCAGATGTCAAAGAGAAGAACAACAACTATCAGACTTTTAGAAGACATCTGAAGGCAGCCCTGTTTGGGGAAGCTTTTAATGTTTAACAGACCACTGTATTTTAATATTTTGTTGGAAGCAGCCCAGAGCGGCTGGGGAAACCCAGCCAGGTGGGTGGGGTATAAATAATAAATTTATTATTATTATTTTATTATTATTAAATACGTAGTACCTTGAAAGAAATCTGAGGTACAGAGTCACAATCAGAGCATCTGAAGATAGGAGGCAGGCTTGTAAATGCTGCTGCTTCCCCCAGGCTCTCTTGCCTCTGGCAAGGGTGTCCCACTTTCTGAGGGACTAGTCCCCTGGCTAGTCTCACAGGCATTTCCAGGATGGGGCTCTTTCCTTTGTGTAGCCCTGCAATTCAGGAGGAGGATGGCAGTTTGAACACCTTGGAGGACTTGGAGAGGATGCTAAACACTTTTGCTCTCCTATCTTCTCTTGGGTCTTCCCCCAAGGGACAGAAACCGCATGGATAGTGGCAGTCTAAGGGTGCACCCACTCAGTCCTAAAAATCCCAGCACCCTTAACAAACTAGAATTCCTAGGATTCTCTGGGGGAGAAGCCATGTGCTAGAAATGTGCTTTAAATGTATGGTGGGATGCAGTCTTAAAGTGAGAAAGCCTTGCTATGTGTAGTACTAGTATCTGTCTGATCTAGCAACCATCTTCTTTGAGATCAGCTACTCTCTTGAAGCCATAGCTCAGAAATTCATAAATTGCCCAAGTACATCTGAAAATCTGAGGATCTGTGTACGTGTGTGGGAAATTGCACACATCTTTCCCCACTCCCTAGTAAGTCTTGCCTATTTTATTATTTACTACAGCCTTTACAAACCTGGTACCCTCCAGATATTTTGGAGTTGTGAACTTCCACCAGACTGCTGGGAGTTGTAGTCTAAAACAGCTGGAAGACACCAGGTTGCTGAAGGCTGGCATTTTGAACTTGGATCGAAAACTTGGGTTAGTAAACATTGATGTGCCTGTATCTGAAACCATGTAGAGTGCCTTCCATCTCACAAAGGATGATACTGTGGAGTTCAAACATTTTGTTGCCTGAGGTGAAAGATATGAAAAAGGGGGAACACAAAATGTTCACCTTCCTTATGAGAAAAAATTAAGTCCCTTGAGCCTTTTTCAGTTTTAGACAAGGCAACCAAATGGCGCTGCTATCATCATCATTATCAGCCTCTTGAACTTCTGACACCATTTTGGTGTCCAACGCTGCCCCTCTCTACTGACTGCCTCTGTCCATGTTTGATCCCTGGCAGCACCAGATTAAAGGATTGGGAGCAAGAGACTGAAAAGGCCTCTCTCTGGCACAGAGCCTGGAAAGCCAGAATAGGCAACACTGGACTGGATGGACAAACATTTTGGTTTGATATACGGCAGCTTCTTGCGTTAGCAAGAAGGATCCACAACACATAATGAACTTACAGAATTTACTGCCACAAGATGTGGTATTGACAAAAGATTTACATGGACTTAAAAGGGGATTACAAGTAGATTTTGAGCCATTGCCTTGCCATTCAAGGGAGGCAAAACCAAGAGCAAAAAGTGTTTTGTTGGGTTCAGTAATAAATGAATGTTTTGTTTCGTATTTTCCTGCAATGTAAGGAGTGGGAAAGTGACATTGCTAAGGAGATGTAACAGTCAAGTGTCTGGAGAGACACATTCTCCTAGCACTGCTCAGAACTACTCTCTCAAACATGCCATATACCAAGGACTGTGCCCCTGATTTCTTCCCTTGCCACCCCCTGCTACTCACACCGGCTCAACAACCATCCCATTCCCCGTAGACCTTTTCCAGCTTCCCTTAGATCTCATCAAAGCCCCCACCCCCTTACTGACCTCACCAGCTTCCTTTAGAACTACTCCCCTTAGAATTGACAGCAGAAGGGTTGGATGAGAAGTTGGCCAACATGCAATGGTGGTGAGGAAGAGGCATGATTTTCCTGTGCCCACTTTGGGTCTCAGCAGTCAGTCAGCAACTGGCTGTGGAGGGGCTGAAGTGTGGCCTAGGGACTTTGGGGGTGTCCCTTCAGGCAGAGGTGCCACTCCTGAGACACACTCCCTTTCCATGCATACCGCTGACTTATTTGTGCTGTTTGGGATGTAGTAGCAGTGCCCACTGTTTCTGGTCACCTTCCTAATTGACTTCTTGGGATGAGGTGACAAAAACAGCAGTGGATCACCACACTGGCCAGGGAGGAGGAAGGTGACCAGTGACAATGCTAGCCAATCTGGGACAATGGAATTTGGGGGCAGTAGCACCTGGGCTGGCAAGTGGAGAAATGGAGCAAAATCTCCATGCCTTCAGCAGAGACGATTTATTTGCTTTGTGAGCATTTGAGAGGCATTCAGGAGGATATATGAGAGAATAAAACGCCAGTTGCTTTAATTCATCGGGTTGCCAACCCTAATATGTTTCCTGCGTGCAACTTTTCTTCTTTGCGCTCAAATAAATACGTTATCTAACAAATAGGTTTGCTAACCTTGATTCATTTCTGTGAAGAAAATCTGACTATTTATGTTTCTCTCCCTGTGGCGACAACAGAAATGCAAAGCTGTATTCTCCAGCATTTCACTGCGGCTGTGTGCCCCCCCCCAAGCCTCCCTAAAGATATCTGGCTACTCATGTTGGGAGACTGACTGCATGACTAGATGGTCCTGCAAGGCAGTTCTTATGCAACAGATGCCAGTAGCATCACCAAAGAGACATTTCCCCAATGGGTTTTTTTGTTTTTTGCTTGCATGTGAGATGAGCCATTACTCTTGTCCCTTGTGAAGAATGTTCTATGTAGTAGAAAACTCCAGCGAAGGATCTGCAAGCCTGAATTAATTCATCTTTTCTATATTCTTAGGATGAGTACTTCAGCCGCTATTGTTGATTTACGTAATGTGCATTTCCCAAGGTTCTAAAGAAATAAATAATAATAATAATAATAATAATAATAATAATAAATAATAATAATAATAATACCAGCAGCCTCAGATAGATCCAGACATTAATCTTTATAGGAGCAATAGGAGCAACTTCACCCGCTTCAGTCATGCCACCGACATGTGAGCACCAATCCTCTTTAGGGTTTTATTG